AATTCAATACAACTTTCCAAGTTCAGTAAAACCATTTCAAATCGGCTGCTGACGGAACCGGTGAAAGAGTGGTTTCAGAATAGTGCCAACTGCTGTGATCACATGCTTTTTCATGAAGGTACCACCTTCGGGGGACATCAGAGTGTCTCTCTGACGCATTTGCCTCATTTTTGGGACCAGTGAATAACAAGAACATATTGCTTGCTTTCTGAGTTTTCATCGGGTTGTTTCAAATCGCTTTTGTCAGCGTGTGATGGAATATTTTGCTTTGGTTGCCAGGCACTCAATAGTATTGCACTTCAGTGACCGCTACGTACCACATCAACCTGGTGAACCTGTGTAATCGCCGTCACTCTTTGCAGTCTCTCACTTCCAGTGGATGGGGTTTGTGCCACTTCAGTGAACTCGAACAAGCACTACCGAATCACTGTTCGGCTTGCGCTTCACGCCTGCTAGTGATACTCCAATACTGGGAAGACTTACAGTTAAATATTCTGCTTGCAAATGAACTGACTGATTTGACAGATGAATTCATCTGGCCGAAGGCAAACCAAGAAAGCTATAACTGCATTTACCGAACTTCGACATTCTTGACGCCGATTCGACCTTCGTCCGGTCACTGCTGCAGTATGATTTGTCCTACTCTGGATCAGAAACATGCCTTCTGTCCGCACATGTTTGGAAATTCGGTTTAACCGCACGAATCTATTGCATTCAGTCTCAGCTGGGCTGTCGCATAGACGGCATGTTCAAACTTGCTGAATTATTAACAAGTAACTAATTCTTCAAAATCCCGAATATCGATCCATCTAACCCTTGAGGGAGACTTTGCGCTGCAGTTTTAGTTGGAGGACATCGCAGATGAGGGATCCATTCGAAGCCCGTTTCTATTTCATCACGAAATCATCTACTTTTTGGAAAGTGGATGCTAAGCAAACTTGTGCATAATTTTTCAGACGCCATTGGCCTGAAAAAAACAGCAAGGGTGTCCTCTAGCGGCCTTTCCTTAGTTTTGGATGTTCTCCTAGTAAGAAACCAGCTATTTTTTAGTGGACCAGTAACCTATAGGCGCTAAAAATGTTGTAGCTTTTCCTGAACTGTTTTGGCTTGGCTATTTTCCGTTCGTCCTTGTGTGGACATTCCTTCTGCTTGAGCACACTTATTCTGTGTGTGTGTGTCCACTTGCGTGACTGGACTGAACAAGAAACCAGCTATTTTTTAGTGAACCAGTAACCTATAGGCGCCAAAACTGTTGTAGCTTTTCCTGCACTATTTTGGCTTGGCTATTTTCCGTTCATCCTTGTGTGGACATTCCTTGTGCTTGAGCACACTTATTCTGTGTGTGTGTGTGTGTCCACTTGCTTGACTGTGAACTAGATGCTAAGTACGACTAGGTGAGATTCCGCGAATACAGTCAAACTCACTTTTGAGGAGTTTCCTTTTGGAAACAGAAACCAGGATTTTGTTTGGTCGGACCCATGTGTCAGGTCACCATGGTGTTCGAATGCCACTTCAACTCTCTCATCGGGCGATTAGGGTGATGATGACAAGTTCTCCGTGTACGTTCTACGGCATGTTGCCATTCCGTATCTCTCCCCGGGGAAAGCTGCTGTGTAAGCCCTCCAAGAGACACGACCAAAGTGCTATCTATGTCTCTTTATTGCAATTCGTGTCACTAATACATCTCACTCGCCACCCTCTTTCACGAACGGATGTTATCACCCTCCATTCATGTTCCTAGATAACCTACCTTTCCACCTAGTTCATCCTCTAATGGCAAGGACTTAATCTAAGCTAGATTTCGTTCCCCATATTCTATCATATGTGGAGAAAGATGCAGCGATCTGTTTACTTTTATTAGGCAAATCCATGAGGTCATGTTTGTTTAACCTGGATGAATGTCATTCGGTTGAATGCTGTGCTTGTCAGTTGGTTTCCTTCGTTTCATGAAGGTACGAATTTCACACCTTCTGATCAAAGGGCGTTAACAACTTGGGGGTCCCGCGCATTCTCGGTTGTGCGTTCAATGACGAGTTTGATGTTCTAAAGAGATGGCCCACAAATTAGAATGGCTTTATTAGCGGTTTCCGCGTTCACCGTGAAACTATATGTCTCAAGACCTGAGTAGTATGTATTCCAACTCTGAGGAATAATGACTGACTTTAACAAGATTTCACTCAGCATGTAAATCACTGATTGATTGATGTTATTTATTATGACCAAGGCTTCTCCGCGTAATCTTTTTCTCTGTTACAGGGAAAACAACTTGAATTTCAAATAATCGGAGCCAGGAAAAGATTAATTTGTCTACAACACCTCAAAAAGTTGGAGGTAAATGGCTATATCAACCAGCTGCTTCCTGTCCTGGTGAACAGTCTGCTTGTTGATCTTTTAGATGCAAATGGTGTAAGCCACTTGTGTTCACCATTTGGCGTCCACCGCAGCTGCGCGTCCCTCGCGAACAATATGCGATGTGCTTTGCTAGCTTCCGCACACGAATATTTTCTACTTTGTGCTGATTTGCCGAATAGAAATTATACTGGGTTCGATTATGTACCTATTCAGTATATCAAGTTTACTCCAATTCGTTTGCCAGACGGTGGAAGACCCAGCGTAGCCGGCACTGAGCATGGATGTGCTAGCTACACAGCCTCCCCTATGTTAAATCCCCCTACGTTCGCGCTACCTGCTCATAAATTTTTGCCCGAATTCACAAGCCTACGGAAAGTAGCGCCAGCCTACCGACCCGCAATGTTTCTTCTACTGGGTTCGGATTCCATGCCACGAGTCCGCCTACCAAAGTCACTTCAAATCCTTCTACATAAGGAGGCTGGGTCAGACTATAAAACACGTCGTTGGAATACCATCATATCCTGGTTGTCCCAATTCGCGCCTGGGTCATTTCAGCCTATTGATCAGATCATTGCCTGTTATCCACCGGATGAGAAACAACCCTGGTTACGTAGTTTTATTGAATCTATTCTGGACTATGTGCCAGACCCAGTAATTGGTCGGAGGTTATCATCTTTCCTCCTGGAAGCACCACGGTCCAACCAGCCGAACACTCGAGATCAAGCTCTCTTGAGCCCGAGTTGCCCCGACAATGAGAAGGATCAGTTACTTGATGATTCCATGGATGGAAAGACTTTCATTAGTAAAGTGTTTCAAGGCTATGGCACCACAAAGCTACGGCGGCTTGATTTTACCAGCAGTTGGCCAGCAAATCTTGTCAGGACTTTCCACCAATCACAATTTGCTAGCTATTTATTTGTCCCTTTGTACTGTCCAGGAGGAGTGGTCCTACCCACAGTTGTTGAAAATCCGTCTGTTTCGGCTTCTGTATGGGATGCAGCGTTGCCGCTCCGAGCACTGTTCTATCGACTACTGTCAGGACTGGAGCATCAGTTAGGCTGCCCGGAAAAATTACTCGGCTTGAAGCCCGGTGCTACGGAATACGCTAGACACGGCACATCAATCGTCCGATACAGCATTCCCGTTGATCCGTTCTTTTTGGACTCCAAGACGGATAGCACCGACGAACTTTTAGCAACCGTGCTGGAATTACCCACATTTGATGGTGGAACAAATTTAGGTCCTTTATTTAGTTTATCTTTGTCTTTGTCTCTGTGGCATCGTTGGCAAATATCCAACGGTAAAACGACACCATCACCACCAGAGGAGTCACCTCTCTTATTAGCAGTTGTTCTCTGTGCTGTTGCAAACAGCATAAACTGCAGTAATACATTCGATGTGGAGCTGGTGAAATATTACGGCAGTGTTCTAGGACTTGCGGAGAATATATTAAATGCGACTGACGTGAAAACGGTCAATGTTACGCAATCAGCAAAGCATGTACTACCAGTCACATTTAGGCTAGATTATGTTCATGAATACAACTGTATCCAGATCATCTATGCCTGCTTCAAATCGGTCGTCGTATTGTTGGACCAGCTGGTTCCCACGGAACGACGCTCCAAGTGTTTCCGTTTTTCACCGCCTTGGAAGGTTTTCCCGTCAGGCAGATTAGTTCATTGGTTGGCTGCATGTATTGCTAATCGAGATCCACTAATGAGGCTACACTGCGCCTTGGGTTTTTGGTTGCCACGCTTAGTTCGAGTACATAATCAGACTGCGACTGCTGCGACGTTGCTTCAGCGTGGGATCAGTCTGTTCACCCTCTTTATGAATAAGACACGCGCCATTGTTGAACAACTATCACCAGCAGCACCACTTGGTTATGTCAAACAGAACGTTCCTTTGTTTGAGTTGGATACATTCAAACCGATAGAAATGGAGGACGGTGCTGTAGTTATCGATGGCGATTCCATGGATTCATTAGAATATGTTGAACCCTTCTCTTCTCCGGTGCTCAGAGCAACTTCAACGTCACCTCAAATGTCTCCACAACCTCCATCTCAACCCGATTGTGAGAACACCTCTCGAAATGCCTTTGTAAGTCAACTGCAAAAACAGGCACATGCTAAACACCTAGGCCACGGTAACACCAGCCTTCAGGAGCTTAAATCACATTCGAATCGAAAACCACCCGGAGATCTTCGGAAGCGTAATCGCCAGCAAACTGGCTATGCAGATCGCCTTCGCCAAAGACTTTTGTCCAACCGGGACGAACCAAAGTGAGCTGTTATTGGAGAGTAGTTAACCTGGGCCGGTGAACACCATTCATGTGGTTGGACTCTGTCATTTTCATTTATATCTTATTTTAACTGGGGTTTAAACCAGTGGCTTCTGACACTCGAGCGTCATCAGACTGACTTTTCATACCTGTTTCTCTTTTTCCTACTTCATAGAACGAACTATACTACAGGTGGGTATTATGCATGCAGAGCAATCACTGTTGTTTTCATCCATCCTGTCTTTTTGTCTTACTCCATGATTTCATGGCTTGTAATGTATTTGAGCACAAGTTATTCGATGAACAAAGCTCTTTTTACCGCTTTCTAGCCAGCTGGATTGTTGATACAGAGACTTAGTAATGGTTCTGTCAACCCAGAGTGACATTGAAGGTCAGTATTCGGTATCTGAGAGTCAGTCGAGGCCCAAACGAAACACCATTCTGGGTTTTGAAGGCTTGTCCGCTCGCCACACCATAAACCCAGCTTGTGCGCTAACGTTCTTCGAGGCTGTGAACGACGACCCTATTGATAGGAAATACTGCCGCTTTTAACTCCGCCAAATACTTAGAATATTGCGACTGACGAAACTCGTCTTGATTGGCGACAATCTTGAGTGAAAGAAGCTATCTATCAATATGGAACATTGTTAAGCAGCTGTGGGCCGTTGAATCCCAGGTATTTCGTGTAGTTGCTGCGGCGAATCGGATAACACCTCTTCGGAAAAGTGTAGCTCGGCAGGATCGGAGCATGGTTGTAATACACAAAAGTAGATTGGGAAACTAGTGCAGGTCATAGCATGAGCGAACACACGGTACAAGACGGCACTTTTGGCAATTATGTTTCTGTCAAACGCAAAACACTAGGCATCGGACTGTTTACCGCTATTCGTTTCCTGTGCACACGTTGAAATGGTCGATCAATTTGTTGTTGTCTTGACTACATAACATTCCGGTTTGCTTCAGTCGTAGTACCAAATTAACTTCCTGTCAACAGGTAAACACCGCTCGGATTCTCATACCTTATCAGATACTAGGTACGCACAGAGGACGTTAGAAAACTTAAAATGTTTGGCCATCGGCGTTTTAGCATTGTCCGAGTCTAGTTATGTGTTCCGTAATCCAGTCGACAAAATTCCTCGAGGTGCCTTTGTACCTTATCAGATACTAGGTACGCACAGAAAACTTAAAATGTTTGGCCATCGGTGTCTTAGCATTGCCCGGGTCTAGTTATGTGCTCCGTAAGCCAGTCGACAAAATTCCTCGAGGTGCCTTTTTCGTATAACCAAATGGAGGGTGGAAACGACCGAAACGATGACTTGGCAGGTTTGTCTGAAAGCCATTACCAGCAAACTCAGTTGTGCTTGTCGTTGCCGTCTCTCCGGGTGAGGACTCCGAGAGGGGACAAATCAGGGGTTGGAGACATTGACAGTCGGGCGCGCACGCACCCTAATTGTTGCTTTAATTGCGTGGTTTACGCTCCCTATCTTCCTAGTGAGAATTCTGTTGACATTCCTTAATTCATGGATCGATCGTATCAATTAAGACCTCCAATACTTTGCCAAACATCTCCATCTCACTAGGTGATTGGCAAGCGAAATTGTGGCAGCTATAACTAATGTGTGTGGTCCCTACAACTGAGATGATGATCTCATTAGGTAAATGCGGTGAAGCGCTCATCTTGAATTTGTCGCAGTGGTAAAGGGTGGTTCACATAAGCTGTTCGTTTGTGATTTTATGTGACTGAATGTTCAACCTTACATGTTACCTGGAGATCACTTGCACTCATATTCAAAATACCAAAGCGTATTTTCTGTAAGTTGGAAAAAGTTGTTGACCGTTCATCAATGGTGGCGCGCTGCTTCTCTGTCTGTTCTCAGGAAGGAGCGTTTATACTGAGTCTAAAGTTTCTGTTGTGGGATACCACAATAAAAAAGTTGTTGACCGTTCGTCAATGGTGGCGCGCTGCTTCTCTGTCTCTCCTCAGGAAGGAGCGTTTATACTGAATCTAAAGTTTCTGTTGTGGGATACCACAATGGGCAAAACACCTACCGGGATGCAATGATTATCCTATAGGGAGCATTTGCCCCAGAAATAGCAAAGTCGTTCAAAACATGTTCAGGGTAGTGAGACTGTTTTCAAATTGTAATTAAATCGGAGCATCCTGATTGCAAATTTCGATGCACAGTTGCAGACAGTAGATCAAAGCGGGGAACAGTTCTTAGTGAAACAAATAATGTATCAAGTACTATGAACTGCCATGGTATGGTCATGTATCGTCCACTTTCCTCGCTCACTTCGGAATCACATAAGCCTTGTTCTTGACAATATAATGTAGATGTTATGACGAAAAACCTGAGCACTGTCAACGCGACCCATCCACGTGTTACTCTGTAGCATTGGCTAGAAACGCTGCGATCCATTTCGATGGCTTTTTCGTAGTTATTTTCCATCCAAGCTGTCTGGTTGTACGACAGTGAGCTGTTGTAGAGGCATACTGACCGCGGGAACGAAGCTAACATGGTGAGCACAACGCTTCTATTTTGCAGATTCACTCAGCATCGCGTGGAACTACACCGACTAGCAAAACTCAAGGGGGCTCGATGAGCTTTAATCGTAGCTGTGGGCTGAATGACTGTAGTGTTGAACTTTTTTACTATTTTATATAGAGGCATTTCACTATTAAGTTCCCGCAACATGTTATTTCAGAGGCTTGTTCGGGCCATCTGTGGGTTGAGTATGGCGTTCTTCTCAGTAGGTGAAAAGTGTTCCTTGCTTATCTGGTGCGACGCACCCTTGAGTTTTTCCACCAGTCACTGATGTTAGTCACATGGCCCAGTGAAGACGATTTGCCATCGTAAAAATCTTCAGGTCGGAAGGTCTCGCTGTCTTTCGTATGATGTTTCGACTAATTTCTCAAGATGGCTCAACAGTAATCCTGGAGCGTCCCTGGGGGGGCATCCCAAAAGAAGTCATGACGGAGTTAAAGTATCCCAGTAGATATTCGGTCCTGGTCAGGAAACCCGAAGTACTGCACGTAACCCTAAGAATATCGTAACTTGACATCGGATCGTTCTGTGATCCCCTAGGGTCTGCTCAGGAATACCATTGGGATCCATAAAAATGTTGGGATATTTTCAACTCTTGTCCATTTTACTATACCTCACTGTGACTGGAACAAAAGCGATTTTCCTCACCGGTTTTACATCCGGTAAAGAGTGTGGAATTCCCAAAGCTGCTATGACGTTTGCGCATTTCAAGCGATGCAACATAGTTGCGTGTTGGAATTCGGCCAACACTCATATGCCGATCGAATTATCCCAGATGTAGGTCGTGATTATTTCGCTGGATACATTCTAACTTCAATTACAGGAATAAATACTTCAAGGATAGGAAAGCTGATCGCGCTTCTGTTGTTTACTTTCCATTAGCCGGCCTTGATCAAGAGAAACAATTCACTGGGATGAGGTTCCAGTGCTTTCTTAAAATGGAGCAGACAGAACACTTGCATGGGAGTGTGAAGGCCCGTGGAACCGAAAAACAAATTAGACATTGCTGTACAACTAACCATACAGGTCGCAGTACATTGTTTTATCCTCAGAGTCGGATCATTACGGGGTTTCAATGTATACTATACTATATGAATGAGAGTACAAACATCTGTTGACCTTGACATTCGAGTACTTGGACGCTATAACCTGCAATTCGATCAAACAGAAGAGGGTTAATATGCATTCCAAAGTTTATCTGGGTTCTTGCGGTCGGTAGAATTGTGGTGCTCATATCAGCGACTTGTGTGTTGCTTTTTGTTCATTTATGGAGCGGCTCCCCATACATTCAAACGGCAGCTTAGCCCTCACGATCGCACAATATTCCTCCCAAGTAATATGTGCATCATTGTGAACTCTATATCATGAGCACGAGCAACATCAGGCGGTAAATATCCTGACCAACGCAGTTCCAAGAATCCAAACAAGTTGAACAGCACCTCCTACCTCTCAGGGCGAATTATCTTCGATTCATTGGCCTCATGATACGGTAACCTAGCTAGTTCATGTGTGGGCATACGTCATTTGAATTTTGTTAGTTAATCGTGCAAATCTCAAGCGCCATTTCCGATAATCAGATTAACGTTTCACGTGAAAAATCCTCACACGGCCGAACAAGAAACCAATACACCAACCCATGGGACGGTTGGATGCTCTCAAATCTGCCTTCCTACATTTACACGCTGGTCGGCCGAGACAGCACACCTCAAAGGAAAACATAAATCTTTCCCTGCTTTTGTGATTCGTTCATCTAAGTAGGTCTTTCCGCGCAGATGGCGAACTTATTGCGCGATAATGCTATGAAACTGGCAGCTAATCGAAGCGATGTCCAGGCCAAGGCATACTGTGTCTCTTGAAGACTTCAGAAAAGGGAGGTCTGTAGCCGTTAGCATTGACATCTGAGGAATCGGTAGCATCGTTCTTTTTATCAATTTCAGGTTAAAGACAAGAAGAAATATAGTGGAAGGTCACCGTTCCCAAGTAGATTCGCCGTCCGCTACCACTTCAAGCCAATATGCGCATGTAGAAACGACAGTTTAACGACTCGAGGGAAAGCTGAGTTGAAATTAAATAACCAACAGCGGTTAGTGCATCAATATCACAACGCGATCCTCTTGTGGCGGAAAATCTTTAAAGGCTATCGTGGTTTGATTATTAATACGCTATCAGGGTCAAACGTAGCTATTGCTACTCTTCGATACCGATTAACTTGACGCCCTCACATCGTCAATTCTTCATACAGATGTCTATTGAATTTGTCGTTTATTTTTTATTTGGTTTGCATCAAGCAAGCACTTGGGTCATCTTATCACATGCTTAACGGGTGTGGGACAAAACAGATGCGGAAGCAGAAAATTTCAGCATACACCTCTGTCCATAGTGCCCACGTTAACAGGCAAGGTTTGGCATACTTCTCGTGAACTTATTACAGGGGTTCTTCCTTAAATCCTATCATGTATCCATGATACCTCTCTTCAATGTTGATATCGAAAGCCTGTTCCAGCCAGGTCACTGTATCCCACAAGTTTTCGTGTGGATTTGTGTCTATAGCTTTGTGCAATCGAACATCCGTGAAGGAAATAGCGATCTCGTGGATCACGCAGTACTGCTCGACCTTGGACTATTTTCCCCAAATTGATCTTCACAGAAACGTTCAGGTGGTCTTCAGTTGTCCCGATATAGGAGGAACTGAACCTGTCCTTCCGTCCAGTTTAGCCATGTGATGTTTGCTTCCACACAACATCAAAAGATTCAAATTCATTCATCATAACTTCCATTATTGC